CTGAGAAGATGAGGACGAAGGTCCAGTTGGAGACACATAACAGGTCGTTGGTGACTTATCTCTTGCGTGAGTTCACGCAATGCCCAGTTTCGTGGGAAACCCTCTCCTCCTCACCTCCACCCCGACTCTGGGTGCTTGGGGCTGACCTCAGCCAGAAAATGGGCAAGAAGACCCAATTCCAGGTAAAGTGGGTGCTTTCTCACATGGAGCTAGGGACCCAAGAGGGTGGTACCGAGCAAACTCAGCCTTCCTGCGGGAGACCAAAGAACAGAGCCCCCAGACCAGCCAGAGAGACCCAGATCCGTCCAAAGCATTAACTTCGGGCTCGTCTCCAGTGATCTGGAATTGCCGTAAGAAGAACCAAACTAAGGCAACCGGAGCCTTTAGCTGGGAGGTGGATGAACAGCAAAGCCTAGGCACCAGTTTGTGGAATCCCCTCCGGGAACTTTTGGAAACAGCTAACTTGGCAGATGGCTGCCCGGAGGCAGGGGCATGGTGGAGGTGGCCTCTCCATTACCCCCGGGCCCCAGGAGACCTCATCTGGATAGTTGGCCTGGGGAGGGGGGAGTCAAAGGCAGGGATGGGCTGCCGGGGGAGGGACAGCGTTCCCCGGAGGAGCCGCGTGTGGGAGGCCGCGCTGCGTCACCTACCTGGGCTGCCCTTCTGGCTGACTCAGGTCCTGCCTGCAGGTCTGGATGTGCTGGGGCAAGTCCCAGCCTCCACTCCCTCCCCAAATGCCATCCCAGCACACTGGGTGGGGGCCGAGAGCTTTCTCCATTTTTATTTGGAGGTTGGCTACAGCCCTTCAGGCTGAGGGGTCACTGCCAGCCACCTTTACAAGCCCTGCCCAGCCCTGCCCAGCCCTGCCCAGCCCTGCCCACAAGGAGGTCAGAACCCTCCCTGCGGCCCCCAGACGCTCCAGCGGCAGCCTTGCAGGTTATCTCCCCTTGGGGAGACCTGGGGGTGGCCTGTGGCAGGCACCCACATCCAACATCTCCTCTGAGCCTCGTGAAAGTCCTGCCACTTGGGCAGCACGAACACCACCGCATTTCAGATAAGGAAACTGAGGCCCACGACCTCACAGGCCTCAAACCGGGGCCTCCTGATGCTGACTCCTGAGCCCGTACCTGGCCCACGGGCCGGAGGAGGGAGGGCCCCGCGTGCTCATACACTTATAGGCCCGGGATGGTGGCAGCAGGCCTGGGCCGGGCAGGCAGGCCTCATCCTGTTCTCCCTCAAGCTGGGGCCTGACCCCTTGGGCCTGAGCCGGCTTTGTCTGTAAGACTTAGGTGAAAGGCCTCTGGAATGAAGAAGGTTCTCCGCTCCCGGGAAAGGAGGGCCGTGAGGGCCTCTCTTGGGCTGTCAGGGATCAGAGGCTGACTCCCGAGTCACCCTCAGCCTGGGAAGTTTCCGCAGCCTCTGCCTTACACTTCCCGAGCGGCTTCTTCCACACCCGAACATCCCCTGGGGTCCGGGGTGAAGAGTAATCACAACTGCCCTGAGTTAGTCTCCGATCACCTTCCAGGTACTGTGCCGAAGTCTTGGATGTGCAGGATGCCCTCTCTCTCACACCCCAGACCCGTGAGCCAGAGGTCACTTGCACTCCTACTTGCACGAGGCGCTCCGAGGGCAGCTGGAGGCTTGTCTGAGGTGAGTGGCGGTGCTGGGATTTGAACCCAGGTTGTCAGGCTCTTGATATCGGCATCCGGACCGCACTTAATGGCCCGGCCACTGATGGGGAAATGAAGCCTGCCGCGAGGACCTTCCAGGTGCCCCAGCTACAGTTGCATATTCTCCCGCTCTGTGACCCCAGTTGTCTCCTTCTCCCCCCTCCCTTCCCACCTCAGAATCAGCCCAAGAAAACTGGAGCAGCGAGGGTTAAGTCACCTCCCTCTGCCGGTGGTGCTGTCTTGCTGTCGGAGGGCTCTGTGCTCGCCAGGCCTGCACCTGCTCCAGCGGCGCCCTTTCCACTGGCTGGCCCGGAAAGCCAGCTGCGCGCGGGCACTGCGAACACGCTAGCTCCGGGCCAGCCTGGCAGGTGCAGCTGGAGGGCGAAAGCACCGACTCCAGGCCGAGATGCGGGGCTGGGGCCTGCAGGCCAGATCCTCCGGGAAGGAGCCTGCTCCCCAGCACTGTCCCCCCTGCCCGACAGGCCCTGCTGTCTGAAGGAGGCCGGTCCCCTGCAGGGTGGGCGGCCCTGTGAACCCTGGTGGGAGAAGGAGGCAGGTCCACGGTGGGAGCGATTCCCTCCCTTTTTACAGTGGGAAGAGAGGCTAGACACAAACAAGGAAGTGTCGGTGACCATCAGAGGAACAAAACCCAACTCCCAGTCGGGACAAGGCAGGGCTTTCCTAGCCACCTCCCTGTCAATAGGAGGCCTGTGTAGTTCCATCCTTTCTGCAGATGCCTCTGGCCGGGGCGATCTGCCCCCTCTTCTTGGACTTGCTGCTTCAGTATCAGCGGAGAATGATCCCCTGCCCTCCCTCCCTCTTCCCTCCTCCCTTTCAGTGGGGACTGGGGCTGGCAGCGACATTTGAGAGCCAATGCAGGGAAGGCACCTGACCTTGGGGAGGAATGTGGGAAATGTCTGCAGCCTGGAGCAGCCACCCCCCACACACACACCTGGGGCCCAGGAATGTGGCCCCCACGGGAGGCGTGTGTGTGTGTGTGTGTGTGTGTGTGTGT